TGGCGAACGGGGGTTCAACTCCTCCCTCGGCGGGACAGTGCTGGATGTCAAGGTCGGTCAGCAGAATACTACTTACCGGTGCTGCTCACAACAGTAGGAGCACTTGGGACTCTCTCTCTCTCTCTATCTCTCTCTCTCTAGGGTGATCAGCAAGCTTTCTTGATGACTGGGATGTACTAGGAACTCGCTACAGATCATGACAACAATTGCTTACATCATTTTATAGTTTATAGTTCATCATTGAGAACTAATCCATTTGTAGGTCTTTTGTTAGTCATCAGGGTAAAAACATCTTAGTGTGCATTGATGATCACGATGAATAGGTCTGGATATAATGAAGTTAGTAATGCATCAACTATCCTTCAAGATTATGCAGCAGAGGCAATAAGAATCAGATGACCAGTTTCATTAACTTGCAGGATGATAAAACTGATTTATACTGTTCTGCTAAAAAAAAGTAACAGTAAAAGCAGTGACTAAAATTTTCATCTAGCGTGCAGGGATCAGGATCAAGAACTTTGTTACCTGGTTCAATGTTGATCACCCCGTGAAGTTTCCAAAAGGAACATTTCAATTTTTCTCAGCCTAAAGAAGCTGCTGAAAACCTTTACTTCAATCGGAGAGATATTCCACGTCCTGGATCTGTATCAAAAAAGATTAAACCAGAAAATGTCCTGACATTGATGTTACTGACAAGCTTATATAACAAACGTAGTAAGGCATCATGCCTCAAAATCGGCCGTGATGAAAGAAACACGATATGGGTTATTTCTTGCCATTATAACAATGTGTATCTCATTACCAATTTAACTAGAATTACAAGAACCACGGCTCTTTTTGGTTTCAGAAGGCATCACTATTTTCTACAGCCATACAACAGTGATGTCCATGCTGCAGTCTCCAGTTCCATAAATAAAAAGGCATGTATGAATGAAAAGAGAAAAATCAAACTACCTAAGCTAGAGGCCAAACTTTATATATGCTACAAATTTTGATTAGAAATCTCGAAAACTCATCTTTGGATCTTCATGCTTTGAGCCACCCCTTCCCCTACCCCTGTGGCGTCCTCTTCCACGGTTTCTGCCTCTTCCTCTTCCACGCCTGAAAAATGAGCTGCCATGCTTCACCTCCACGAGCGAATGGAGTAACTCGTCACACAAGATACAGCCCTCATGCAATGTAGCTCCATCGCTTAGGACAGTTGTCTTCTTATTGAAATCTACTTCTATGATAGTCGAGTCACATTCAGGACACCTCTTGCCTGTAGTTGAGATTCGATGAGCACCTTGTGGAAGGGAGACAAGGCAATTGCACGTGTTGCAGCATAGCCTCCATTTAGGTGCACTAACAGGGTCAAGAACAAGTGTTCCGCTACATTCAGGGCAAGCACACACTCCTTGAGTTATCAATGAATGTGGGCATGTAGGATGAGGACAGAGGAAACATGGCATGCCAGCACCCTTTCCTATTTTTCCAGAATTCCCAAGCTTAAGCGTACCAAACAGTTTGTCAATCCCTTCAAATGGAGGGCTATTGTAACAATAGGGACACAGTGGAAACGTTTTTCCATCAGGACCAGCCATGGAGAAGATCAGCAACTCAAAACCATCTAAAGGGCATGCAAGTTCCTTGTATAACTGGAAATGGGAGCATTTGTTAGTGTATGTCTCTGCACAAACTATTAACACTATTAACTTCTGTAGTGTATGCCCCTATAAGAACTAAAAAATTCAGTCACTTGGAATTACTTACTTTAATGGTGCCATTCTGAGGAAGGTGATAGACCTCTTCACAAGTTATACAGTATAATCTTGTCGGTTGACTAGAAATATATTTCATGTACCGAGTGCATTTCCCACATTTGCTTAGTAGACGCCCAGAGTCTGCCAAAGGTGAGAACTGTGCTTCAAACAGAGCATCCATATCCTCAATCTGAAGAATGGAAAAGCAAATGTTTATTACAATTAACAAAAGAAAAGTGTGAAAACTGACTGTAATAAAGGATAACGTAGCACTCAAACCATCCAGCAGGCAGTATGTAGAGATACTAGAATTGGCAGCCAGCTATGTACTTTTCATTATCTCATTGAATTGGATGTCCAAGAACCAACAGATGTACAAGGATTTCATTATTGTCATGCAAAAACTGCTTACAAGAAGACGATCATGAAGGATATTGTAAATGCCATTGCCGAAAAATGGACCTAAGATAAAGCAAAATAAAATTCCATAGTATGCATCTCGAAGCTATAACCAGGGATGAATGAACCTAAGGTATGTTGGGCTAAGGCTCTTTGGTGCCATGCACTTCCCATGGGAACAGTGGAATTTTCTTGGTTGCCAATTAATAAGCAAAAGTGGAATGCCAGCATTCGGGAATTCTCAAGTGAGAAGGCTGACCCTAAAAGCATGAACAGGAGAGGATGCTGGTTTCCATTGGATATTGCCCTTGCAAGCTGTAATTAAGTAGCATGATATCAATTCCCCAACAGCTAAATTGGTGGCATTTTAGTCTATTGGCCCAAAAAAGGGCCATGGATTCAACCATTTCATCAGTTGGTGATTCTTAAAAAAATATTTATTACTGGAATTTTTTATGCAGGTTTAACAGAAACAATTCATGTAAAACACTTTCCTTGAGAAGTTGAATAGGTTTTTGTCCAATTTGTTAACCTTCTTTCCTTAATCCTCATCTTCCTTTCATTTCACAGCATCTGGTGAGTTCCTTTCCTCATCCATCTCTTTTTTTCCTTCCTCCTCTTCCTCAATGTTGCCAAGAGGATCAAGCCTGATCTGGTTGGATTGCCTGTGGTGCAAGACTTCCTCCTCATTTTCCACTCTCTTTCCTCTTCTTTCTGTTCCTTTTTTTGTCTGTCAAACCCACTGTTCAGTGACCAGAGTCCATTAAATCAGGTTGGGTTGACTGATTTCAACCAATTCCAATCATTTTTTAACCAATACCTTCGAATTTCTTTACATACCTGCCAGCAGTCCAGCAATATGGCTGACAAATCAGCCATAACTGTAATATGGCCGACAAACCATGAAAAGACATTGTAAATGTCACTGTGGAAAAATGAACCTAAGATAAAGCCAAGTAACATTTTATAGATCTACATCTCAAAGTTATCACTAGGGATAAATGAACCTTATAAGCAAACACAGATGAATCAAAATCGATTCGTTTAAGGTGCATTTCGTGACAAAAATAATTAAAAAATCCACATTAATTTTGATAATTTTGTTAACATTGTTAACTTCTCTCTCCAATGCCCATCTTCCTTTCTTATGAGTGGAATGATGGCATCCAACAAGTTCTCTTTTGTTTTTTTCCTTTCATCATTTACCTGTTCTTTTTCTTTATCTCCTATTATTCATCGAGGCCAAGAGGATCAACCTGATCTAGTTGGATTTCCTGTGGAGCAAAACTTCCTCTTCTCTCTATTCCAAACCCACTGTTCAGTGATCAGAGGTGGAACTTGGCTTGGATTGACAAATTCCAACCAATTATGATCAGTTCCTAATTAATACCATCCATTTCGAACAAACCTAGCAGCACTTGAGTTATATGGCCAGCAAATCAGCAAGAATCAGATTGTGACTGACTGATTGCACTTCTGACCAACCAAATCAGGTCAAGATAAGTCAAATTTAAGAACTACAATATTAATAGACTAAATATCTCTTCAGTGATTACACCTAATGGAACAAATTTTGGATTGACAACATAAATTTTACTGAAACATGACCAACAACCCCACATAAAAGAGCTCTTAGCACTTAAATAAAGCAAAATATAACCAAAACCAAGGTAATAATGGTTGGTACAGACCGGCACATACGGACCAGTATTTGGACCTAGTTTGTATACCAGTACAATACTGGTCCAACCAGTTACCAAAACCAAGGTAATAATGGTTGGTACAGACCGGCACATACGGACCAGTATTTGGACCTAGTTTGTATACCAGTACAATACTGGTCCAACCAGTTACCAAAACCAGTACCAGATTGAGATTTAAATCCTTCATCCAAACAACCACTATATGCTATCCCAACTTCAAATAACTAGACTGTGGACTGTTTAAAAGTGAAAAAAGAAATTTACAATTTAATATGCAAGTTTGTACCTTTTGCTTAGAGCTAGCCCCAGATAAAAGATCTGTTCAATTCCAATATGATTGATGAAGTATTTATTTTGATCCATGGCTGGACAATATGTGTCCAGTGTATTCCAGCATTACCAACAAATGGTACGCTGAAACATGCTGCGGTACAAGGAAGAAGAGAGAAGAAGAGGATGAGAGCAAGAGGAGAAGGATGATGTGGTAGAGAAGAGGATGAGGCAGTGGACAGCAGGAAGAGGACGCAGTGGTGATGGTGGAGAAGAAGAGAAGAGACAGTGGATAAGAAGAGGCGATCATGGCAGAGGAAGGACGTGGGCGACAAGCAGCAGGGACGGTGAACGCCTACGAAAGAGAAAGAGAAAGAGAGAGAGAGAGAGAGAGAGGAAGGACGTGGGCGACAAGCAGCAGGGACAGTGAACGCCTACGAAAGAGAAAGAGAGAGAGAGAGAGAGAGAGAGAGAGAGTTTTTATTAGAAAAAAATAATAAAAAAAAGGCATCCAGGCCCATTACCAGGCGGTACGCCAGTTTCACAGGTCTTCCTGCTCAGTAAGCTCGGTTTGCAAGTGGACCACCCAAAATCAGGCAATCTGCATTCTCAACTGCCAGAGGACAGGTATGTACCAGGTGATACATACTTGTCCGCCCGATTTGTCAATCTGTGATTACCAAGTTTATATAATTATATTCAACCGCATTATTTATAGAGTTGACTACTTATGGATATACTAAAGATGTTTTATCTTCAAGTAATTAAGTCAATCACAAGAGCATAAGTCGTCTATGATCAGATATCAATAAGCAAACATGATACCTTCTTTACGAAGTAAGAATACTTCTCCATAAACTGTTGAAGAACATGCTCCACCACACGAACATGGTCAGCTTTCCCTTTAGCAATTAATGTTATTTGCTGCTCAATAAAGCTGCGGATGTCTGGTAAACAAAGATCTGGATCAATGCATTGATAGCCTCTTATCAAGGTGGTTCCAAGAGCTGTTGGGACCAACCTCCTTCCAGAATTGACCTTCAAGACATTGAAAACCGATTTTGAAAGTTAAGGTAGTGAAAAATGAAGTATAACAAGTGCATGGTACAACACTACTCTACTAATCTGAAATACTTGTCAATCATAAGAACATGAATTACAAAAGAGAAGAAAGTAGGCATAACCAAACCTGAACATAGTTGCGCTCACAAATATTATTAATATGTACAGGAATTGAAGCATCAGTTCCTATCCCATTCTTTTCCATCAGAGATATAAGTTCACTCTCACTAAGGTAATCTGGAGGTGATGTGGTTCCCTAAAAGAATAAATTTAATCAAGTCATTGACTAATAATCTCTTTCTGCATAATAAGGCAAGAACCTAACTCCCTTCTTTTACAATTTACAACTAAAGGTAATTCAGATTAAGAAACATTCAATAGAGAAATTTTTCCATGAATCTATCTTTATACATCCATCCATATAGCTTAATAAAAAAAGCTATAAAGAGAAAGTCAATGATCTGAACTATAAATTAAAATTTATACCTCATGAAGGTCAACTTTTAAAATATTAATCTTATCGCCATTTTTGAACTGTGGTAGATTCTTCTCACTAACTCCCATCCACGGCATGATAGATGTAAAACCTTTAGAAATAACATGCTGCCCAACACAATAGAACAACTCCCCACCAGATGTAAATTCTATTTTAGTCCTGGAATAATTACAAGGGAAAACAAGCATCAGCTTGATTTATCAGACAGTTACAAACCATATAGTGCAAGAAAGCAAAACAACAAATCAATCATATGCATTGGAGCATGAATAAGAGGATAGCATAAGTAGAATAGAAATAATGACTTCATGGAGCTACTGTTATTAATTGACGGCATATTGATTATACATTTACCTAGAAGCAGGGAAAGAAAATCAGTTTTTCTAAAAGCTGATATAACTGATCCACTTCTGAGACCCAAATATTGGATCTAGGCTGTTGGTGGACCAGCCTATACAATGGAGTTGACCCAGCCTTTTCCACATTATAATGAAGCAGTATTATCCAAGAAACAAATTAAATTCTGAACAATCAGGCTCAAAAGGCTTTAGGGTTTTACAAGTTACACACTGTGTCTGATAGACTGCCGCTAGCAATGCTTCACCTTGCCATCTAATAGGCCATATAAGGCCAAAAAATGGTTTGTGAAATAATCAGAATCTTTTGTTGTTGGGCAAATGTCATTGATAAAATCTTTTTTTCTTTCGTTTCTTTCAATTTGGCATGCTGGCTATGCGGACAGGCATGGTGTGGAGCAAGTCATCTCGACAGCAACACTACATTCCATCTAGAAAATTTTGCCATCCTTGAAAATTAGCCTCATTATACCATTCCTAGTCTGAAACTGTTAAAAGTACCCTAGAATAAGATGGGAGAACTTTTATCTATAGCAACTATATCTTTTTGATAATTTACCCTCAATAAATTCTTACATGTTAAAATAACCTACATATATAAGTTGATATTTTTTTATGCATGTTTCTGCACTCTCACCCTTGAACAGAGATGAATAACTACAGCGAAATCCTTGAGGTTTTCATTTGCATCACATGAAAAGACTTTGTCACAAGACCAGTAGGTTCATTAAAGCTTAAAACCAAAGCATCCATTTCTCCTCATCATCCAAATTATGCACAAATAAGGAGAAATAAAAGGAATGGCTAAATCACTTGCAAGCAACAATCAGCAGGACATAGTTCATTTTGAAGCAGTGCAGGCAGTCGTAATGGAATTGTAACCTTTTTCTTTACTTTTTTTTTCTATTCTCCTTATTTTACAATGACTTAGACCCTCATTCATTAATTTAAATGTTTTTCAAATGAGTAAAATGTCATATCATACTGGAACAATCAACCATCCTGTTCCATTACTTGAAACATCTAGAACATTTCACATCTCTGATTGAAACCCGAGTCACGTGAAACTTCTAGAATCATAAGGAAGTACATAGTCAGATTGTGACCGCATGCAGTTTATATTTAAATGAAAACTTTATCAATCTGTGAACTTTGCAGACAAATGGTCAAAGATGGAAAAATACTATAGCCAACTTGTTTAAGAAAGACGATAATAATCACAAAATTGTGAACATTCAAGAAGCTATTGAAAGCTACTATAATTTCTTTTTTTCTTGTGTGCCTTTAGAGTACCGTGAAAAGGAAACTGAAGATGTCTATCAAGGATCAGTTTTAACCAAGGTTTGCCGTACCACAGCATATCGCCCGATATGGGCGGTATGTACCAATCCAACAGAGGATCAGTATTGACGGTACATACTGGTTTGTCGGTATGCCCTACCGTACCATGTGTTGGTACATCGGTATGGTTTAGTACGTATTGTACCGATGGTTGATCGGTAAACTGATATGAACCGATAAAGCAAACCATGATTTTAACTCACATCAGATGTATAAACATGAAAGATATTAGTATTCTTTTTATATATCAAAGTGTTCGTTCATGATATGTCTCAAGAGAGCATAAGATTGCGAACAGTGAATGCAATATGGATGACTACATGCATAATAAGAACATGATCTAATACTACAAATTGGAAGTAAATAAATAGTGAAGAAAGTATATATGTTAGACACATCCAACAAGAACATGACCATCCTGCATAAGAGAGAAGCTAATAACCTTGTGTATTTGCAATCAGGACTAACAGAACCAATAAAATGCTGGCAGATATACTGGTAAAGCCTCCATGCATCACTTCCTAGCATATCCTCTGTTGCAGATCGCATTGGTGTAATGGGAGGATGATCACCTGCATCAGATCCCATTCGTGGCTTACAAAAGCCATCAGCTAGTAGAATCTGAACATCATTGCCCCATATAGGATTCCTTAAATGTGCACTAAGTGCACTTCTGAAGTCAAATGATGAAGGGTATGCAGTGCTCTCTGTGCGTGGATAACTGAAAAATGAAGTGTTAACTGTGTAAGAATAAAGACAAAAGAAAAGATGCTAATATCAATATCCACAAGAACATTAACCACAGATTTGCTTTCTTAAGTCAGGTCACGACACAAATAATAAACAGTCCATATCACAAAGCAGTTTAGTAATTGCTTCACAAACCAAGTAAGACAAGTCCAAACATCCTGCAAAACAGACTTTCTGCAAAAACAAATTTGAATGGAAACAAAATCTGGATTTTATTCATTTACCTCATGCAATTTGCATCTTTGATTTTGTTTTTATTAATTCAGTAGTATGAGATAATTTGTCCAGAAGTGTAACCATCAATACCCAGTATTCAGCACCAACAGAAAATTTTAAAATAATAAACTTAATTGTAAACCAAAGACTCGATAAACTGAATCCCAAGAAAATTGTGGTTTTATGTATTGTGTTTCTTCTAGATACAAATTTTATGACATAGGCTTTATATGTGTCAGATTTTACAACTGATTTCTTTCCCCACTAAGGTGCACCCAGTTTTCATTGATGTTAAGCATTGTTTTCACAACTAGCATGAGAAATGACTCAATGAGACACCCACCACCCAGCTAAAAAAAAAAACTGATGCCTCAGCATGCCTATGTCAGCAGCACTTGAAAGTCATGGTATTAATATCCATGGGTATACACACCGATCCAGCTAGCTGGGTAACGTGTCTTTGGGTCCCACTGGATTTCTTGTACACCCATTGCCCTTTCATTTTCAATGATGAGTTGCTATCCCTAGGTGGAGTCCAATGTGCCACTGTAGAAAAAAAAGAAAAGATGGAAGCGGAAACAGGATCCATGACCTCTATATAGCAGATGAACATATAGATCTCATCAAACTGTTTCAATCAAATTATTTAATATTTTTATGTAGACACATTATTTTCAGTCATCACCAGGGAAACCGTTAATCTGATTATCCATGTCAATGAAATCATGCTTAATTATTTGGTTACTTAAGCTTTTGTTTCTTTCCAATCTAAGGAATTAAAGATTTCATAATTGTTCTTAACTTCTTATAATGATTTCATGTTCATTGAAGTACAGAACTGCATAAGGTTTTAGTCACCAATATTGTAAGACAAGGGAATATACAATAATGATCTATAATATAAGGTCCATCATGTAGGCCACAGATATAATGCTCCTTCCAAAGGAATAAAAAAGTGCTATCAAGCACCATATCACATACATTCAGTGATTTAAAAAGCGCTAGGCGCCAAAAGGCGCCAAGATCCAAAAACGCCCGAGGCGCTAGGCGCTCGTCTAGGTGCTCGCCCGAGCGAAGCGAGGCGCTAAAATATAAAAATATATAATATAATTAATATATCTATTTAAATAAAAAATATATTATTAAATTAAGAAAATGGAGTA